GCTTCATCTGTAGACCGTAAAGCGTATAATATAATGTAGGAAGGTATATTTACATATTCGTTCGGTATTTTGACTAAAACCATTGTTCGTTCAAACAGATTTCATTTGAAACGCCTTTTATCCCCCAACGTAATATGCATTGTTATTATAGTACTACTGCGCGTAACCTATTTTAATATCGAATAGATCATAAATACTGTACAATAATAGATATCTTGTTAAAAAGACAAATATTCGGGTTTTGAATCAGTGACGATTGTACACGAACTGTGTAAGCCATTATATATTAGTGCGGGGTCGTTAAGCTGTTGTGGGAATACTAATTAGACAAAATAGTCCGAGAGGGCGACACCACGCGAGTCAAGTAATTAATTCTACAAAGTACCGATTTGGGCTGAGTAGAGAATCATTTGCAAATTATAGCGTCTCGGCAATAAAGCATGACTTACACCGTGAAAGTCATATGAAATAAATAAATTGATTCGGCGGTGGAAATTATGACGATATACGCACAAATACGAGTACAACGTAGAAATAGTAATGGCAAATAAAAATATATGAAACGCTCAAAAGCACTGGGACGTACGGCGGGTGATTTTTCCTCTTCACAAAACTGCAATAAATGTATAGAAGTATAGAACTATAATATTATGTGTGTAATCGAAAACTTTATGCTCGCCGTAAAAAAAAATAAAAAAATATCCAATTGAAGGCTGTCGCTGTTAAAATATATAACTCCAGAAATCGTTACTAGTTTTACGCGAATTCGATTAAAAAAAAAAGGACATATTTTTAGTATCGCAGTAAGAAGCAGATTTCGTATGTTCACTTCAGTTTTACCGACTTTACACTATTGAACTTCAATATCACAATTATTACCCACTGTGCGCTCTTGTGATATTATAATTTTAAGTGGTTTTTTTTATTTAGTACTTAATGTATGAGAGGGTGTTATGTGTGTAAATTGCACTTTTGAATAATATAATAAATTCAAGTAGAAAATGCTTACGTATCACAACGCATCGTCGAATGAATATTTTTATTTCGCTTTCCAGATCAATTGACCACGAAATCCTCTAGATTCTTTTGTTTTTTTTATGAGATTCCAATTGGACTTTTTTAAATCTTCGAGGCTTTGATTGTATACTAACACGTTGATGGCATATATAAAACTTATCTCTATATGGCGGTTTATATAAAAATTCTAAGTACGAACACGAAGTCAAGCACGTATAATATCAAATAGTTCGTTTCCCAAGTTTCGTTCCATACATATTATAATAACACGAATCATTGAATTTTAATTTTTTTGCTCTTCGACAAAAAATGCACTTTTCTAAATTCTGTGTGTCGTTGTGTTTTATTGCGTGATGTAAAATATTAGATGTACATTTTATGCACTGAAAATACAATTTAAGGATTTATACATAATAAAATTATCTACTTTTTGTTTTTATATTTTTTTATAATTAGCTTGTATGTAATATTATGAAATCTGTGTTACCTAACAGTAAAGCTCTGCAGTAATTTGTATTAATACATTTTTATATCAAAAAAACTCGTATGTGAGTAATTATTATTTTTTTAATACCTAAACAGGATTTTTTAAAAATGTTAATAGTTTAAATTTTTAATATTGTTTGGAAACCTTTTATACACCCCAATGATGTTATTAATTGATATTAATATCGTCGTATCGATTAGTAAATATCATAATAATAAACGATAAATTATTTTATACAATTGATGTAGAATAGATCACCATAACAATAAATATATACACATATGCATATTATGTATATTTTATATTATTTAAATGGTAAGTAATATTTTACAACATTCTTCTAAAACTCGAGGCAATTTGAAATAAGCTATTCAAGTCTACTGATTTTTATTCGTGAATTACTGAAAACTTAACATGATATGGATCTTAAATTATTTTCAATCATGTCGTTTATCATCCAAACTCTGTGCAGTTTGTCCGAGAAAAGCGGCCGTTTGTGTATGTGTTTTAGCAACGATTTGTCAAACCCACTAAGGGGTGGCTGTCAAGAGAGCTCAGCTTTATTGTTTCCTTTCTCGCGATTCTTGTGATTTCTCACGCCTCTGGTGCAGTCGACCGACGGAGGCGGAGTGTCGGAAATGTTTACATAATCTATCGTTGTACAATATTATTATAATTATTACAATCATTGTAAATAAATCACGTAGAAAATGTATATTTAGGTAAAATTCATTACTTTCAAATATTTGACCAAGAAAATGCAATGAGTAGTTTTATAAAATTGACAAGCCTATAAATATAGTTCATAAAATCACCTTAGCCGACAGCACTGGTGGGTGCGAAATTGGATTCATTTGTACGAGTGAACATCACGCTTAACAATAGAGTATTTGAAGTAGAAAAGTGCAAACACTCATCGATAAAATATGACGATTCGTCTAAACGTATAGTTACCAGCTGTTCGCGCACTCAACATCACGAAATTCATCGGTATCTTGCAAAATACATTTGATTTATTGCATTATAACATTAGAATATTTGACAATACCATATGAGGCAATCATAAACACATCAAATAAAATTCTACTACAGTTATATGACAGTGATCGTGCATTATTATAATGTGCATAAACTGTCTGTGTCAGGATAACTATGCGATTCTACTTAAAAAATTAACTTTAGTATATAAAAAGCTAGAAAACTTAAATCCACTTATTGCGTATCTTTTCGAATATGTTAGATGCAATACCATATAAAATAATTATAAACATAAATCACATGATAACTTTTATTACTAAGTCCAAACTTATCAGTAATATTTAATATGTAAACTTTATTTCATGTAAATAATTTAGAGTTAAACTCTTTGTTGCCAATGGCCATAGTTGCCGAGGCTTAATTCAAATAATAAAAAAAAAATTATTATTTTGTAATAATGATGTACTTATTAGGTACTTAATATTTGCATCAACACGTGACAATATTATTTCTTGATGTTGTTTTTATAAGTGTAACATTATTATACACAATAATATGTTATAATATATTATAATTTTGAAAGATTGCTAAATTGCTTGATAAAAAACTTAAGTTTAAGAAAAGTTATTCATAACAGTTCTATAGATATTAAATAATTTTTATTTATTACTAAAAATATATTATAATGTAATGTAAATGAAATTTATGTTTTCAAGCTTTGAATTATTATACGTGTCATAAAAATTTAATTATACTTTTGTCGTTAGTTCTTGGATAAGTTGATTCGTTAAGTCATAAATGTATAATTCTTCATAATCTATAAACAAAAAAATTAAAAACACAATAAAATGTAATCTATGTCCCACAATAATAATTCAAATACTATTTTTAATTTTAAGATGTTATCCAACAAGTTAAATTTGTTGAAACTGTTTTAACAGTTAATTTGTATACATCAAATACAAGTTTGTTCAATGGATAACCTAACCTAACCTAACCATAATATTATGTTTCTTACAAAATGGTTTCTAAGATGAAACCTAAAATATTTTTCCAAATAAAATTACTCAATATTTTAGATAAATCAATTATTTAAGTTTTGCATTTTAGATTGTTAAGTTATCAGAATTAATTTTATATGTTTCAAAAGGGCGCACTAAATCTTATATGAACGATAGGTACAATTAATATAATTTTTTTTTGTTTTTTGTTTTGCCAAAGTGTAAATTTTAGTATACATATTAGAATTGATTTTATTCTCTGGTTATTACTTATTAAAAGATAGTGGAAAAAAAACAAAATTTTAACCATTAAATCTGAAAATGTTAAATAAAATAGAAAAATTACATGTTTAATACTGTTTTGTTTTCTCTGTCGAAAATCCAATAACAATATACTTGTTTTCCGAACAGGACAAATAAACTGTGATATTTTAAGAATAACGTCACTTTATTAGTTTAAGAGTTTAAAAAGTAACACGGAAATCTTCTACCATACAAACAAAGTCTCACCAAAATCTACGTAATATAAATATTCGGTCTCGCCACCGAATTTTTAGGTTCTTTATTTTGCCCACTCAATAATGTTACAACCGACTTACATCATTTCTCGTTACTCTGCCTATAATCTGTATTCCAGCATTACTTTTTACAGCCTACTATATACGCTGGAGGCGAAGTATTGCTAAATTCAGTGCTTAAGTATAATGTTCTATTAAATACTGGCATATTTCAACTATCATAATATTGTGGAATTCTCAAGTCTTTATTCATCAATTTTGAATAATTCTTATATTATAACGTGCACATTACATACCTGCATATATTATGATGTACACATGATATCTATTATAGATACAACATAGCATATACATGTATTAATGATACCTCTTAGAATATCGTGCAATTATTACGAATAACTAATAAGTATAAAATGTTTATTAAAATCAATCAATAGTATTACGTTTTGAGGTGTTGTAAAAATATATATTTATAAATCATTCAAAATCGCGGCGCCTAATAACAAAAAAAAAATATATCTACACATTTTAATTTAACAGATCGTAGAAAAACAATCAACTACTAACACATTATTATTGTTTTCGCAAACGATGCGTCGGTCCAGTAGTATTTCGAATGCAATGACACGATTAATTTTACATCGTTTTTAAAAGTTTCAAATGATATGATGTTTGCAGAGACACCTGCAGCTGCCTCTCACTGCTGCGTGTCCTGTTTTTTTTCTTCTCCGCCGCCTCGGCCTCCGTCAATTAATAAACTGTTATTTATTATTACGTGTAAGATAGATGTTTACATGGAATATTTAAGTCCACTAGCCGCATACACATATATAGCGTACACGGCGAAATGTCTCGCATATACCACATAAAATAATATTTACGCAGACACGCGAAAATTCACGAGTGCGGCGTGCGCGGTGCATGGGTGGTGATTTTTGTTCTTTTTACTATTACTATTTTTTTTAAATATCAAACAATGCGTGTGTATACGTGTTGCAGGCGACAACAATGGGCGGCCGGCTTTGAGCAAAAAGCATAAAAACGGATCTACCAGCGTCCATCCCTCGGTCGGTGTGACGGCCGCAGTTTGGATAATAATAACACAAAGGATTTTTCTGTTATGAATTCGTACATTACACGACGTATAGCTACCGCAACCGGGGCGAAAAGACACGATGGAGCGGCAGTGTGCGACACCACTATTCTGCAGCACGCCGTGAGAATGAAAGAAAACCAGTGGTGAAAAAAAGGCCCTTTTTCGTTGTACAAATGTATTTTAATATGAGATATTATGTGATGCGTGTATTACGTTTTTTTTTTTAAATTATTATTATTTTTATTACTGGTGTAATTTTTCTTTTTTTCCGTGAGCCTATGTGGTAGAAGACAATTTAAATAAATGTGTAAGACGTAACTATTATAATGTATGGATATTGTATTGTGTATAGGTACGTGCGTTTAATGTGTGTTTCGAGTCCATGATATTTTTATTATTTCTCGTAAGGGGTGTGTCCCAATATTATAAGAACAAAACATTTGGCGCTAATGGTGCTCTCTGGAATAAAATATAATTTCCGCCCCAGGGGAGTGAAGGGTTGTGGCTCGTTTGCGATCTTCGGTGCCTCACGACGTATGTATCCAAGTACGCGGTGTGGATGACTCAGGTGGGGTACGATCGTAAAAGTGTCCCCTGGGAAAAGTGGGTGGGGGGATCACGGTGGAATAAAGATAAAAAAAAAAAAGGTAAAAACGGGAGAACAGGAAATAGCAATCGTTACATTTTTTTTCACTACCCCTCCGTAACGTGCACTCAGTCTTTCATCCGTTAAGAACAGTCTTTTACGAGCATACATTTTTTTCCGTGTCGAAAACATTGTTAACATATACAGCGCGATAGGTAGGTACCTTCTAGTGGAAAATATTGACTCAAAGGCTGTTCGCTAACACGTATTATTCGTCTGCTCTCAAGTCACTTCTCTTGTATGGCATATTATATCCGGAATAAAATAAACAAAAGATGATTTTCGTCGCAAGATAGTTTTTTTTCGTTGTTATTTGTTTTATACCTATACACCTACGATATAATGTATAATTTTTTTTTTTTGTAGTATTACTCCTTATGATGTGGATATAAATCTCCACCACGAATACAAAATCATAATAATAAAATAAACATTTTTATAATATCGTGGAAAAAATGTATGAATCAATTAAAAAATGTCTTTCTTTGTGGGCGTTATGTTTACCTGTTGGACATTAACTTGTTTTATTAATATTGATTTCATATTGGTTTTTTTGTGTTGTACGTACCTAAGTGTTAACGATAGCTCGCTGTATTGCAAATTATAACTAATTATATAAATTGTCCCCACGTTCAAACATTGTATTATAAAATCTAATATTCTACTTTTGCTCAATCGAATTTAATGCATTTTTTTAAAAAAACCGTGTGTATTAAATTTAATGTTTTTTAGAGATTATCAATTAAACTTTTATTTTATAATTACTGATTTTTACTCAACCTGGTTGAAATTCATCATTTAGATTTTGAGATGAAATGCAAGGTGCATATTTTCAGTTTTATACCTAATATAACTTACAGTTTATATAACATAAATTAAAAATTGTATGTATTCTTATGTACTATTATTATTAAAATAACGTTAATACAATTATGTTATTAAAATACATAATCAGTTAATTTCGTGTGTTCAGGTATCTGTTGATATATAATAAAATAACATATTAAAAATTAATTCTTTTAACCCCATTAAATAATGATATTATATAAATAGATCAAAATAAAATAAAGCTACCTGTAGTTAATACAGTTTCATTTAATACATTCATAGTATACATTTTAATCAGTTTCTTTTTGAGCTACGGATACAATTTAGTAATATTATTTAATAATGCCAAGGCTGGGCAAATTAACTTTTTTATTTTTTAACTGATTAAGTTAAATAATTATAGAAAACTGTAAGTAAAGTTTTAAGTGAAAAGTTATATTACTTTTTTTAAACTAAATAAAAACAATCTAAGCCAAAGCAAAATAATCAAAATGTATAAAAGTACCTGTATACTATAAATCTATAAATATTCACAAAAACAATGTAGATTATTATACAAGTGTAATTGAAAAAATAACCACAGATAGGCCATATTATAATGATAGAACCTTGTCAACAGAAGTTACTAACTATTTAGGTAAATTTTTGTATGGTTAATTTTTATAGAGATCATGGCACCAAGAACTTGTCATTTTAAACGTCAAATTGGTTAGGCTGTGTGATGTTGTTATCGTTGAGATATTTGACATTTTTTGTACATATAATATATATTATACATTCATACATTTGTATAGATTAAAATATATTTTTAATTTACATGGAGAAATGAATTAACTAATAAGTAACTGCATATCAAATAAACAGATTTCAATCGTTAGGTTAGACGTTAGAAATTACTTTTAAAAAATGTAACTCGTTATATATTATGTAGCTTAGTAAAAAGCAACTTCACTTAAATTGTTTAACTCGTTAATGTCCAGCCTTAAATAATGCTACAAATGCATACGAGTATAAAAAAAGAACACAGGCCGCGTATTAGTTATAGTAAAAAAAAAAATCACACATAGTCTATAATTAAAAATAACGTTATAATCGATAACCATTTATTATAATAAGTTGTATGGAGTTTATGATAAATATAATTATATTATATGTTATAGTTTATATGTAATTATTATTGTGTAAAACATGAATGTGTAAATTATATTTCCGATTTTAAAAATATAGTTTAAAATTATGATAATATAATTAGTATAACTATTCTACTTTAGATGTTCATTTTTGTAGTTATGTATAATATGCGATGTTCTATTGTTTCTATATTTTCTTATGTTCAGTTTATCTCTTACAGTCATATATTTATCTATCCTAATTAATCCCTGATCTCTTTAATTAAAACAATGTGATAAACCATTTGAATTAGGTAGACTTTTTCCTCAAATTCAATTCAACATACCTACTATTCTACATAGAGTTAATTTTTAATTGTAATTGTGATATATCAGCATAATATTTACTATGGTAAACACTAGGTAGAGTTATTAGTTCCATCATATTATACAATTAACCAGAGTCCAGAGAATAGCGAGGTGTACAACAATGTCTTAGTTATAAAAACCCACTGATATTGCTTTATAGGTTTTAAATGATCCATTTCAAAGGCACTTCAACCAAAGAAAAAAACAAAATATAAGACATCAATCTGAAGTTATTGAAAAAAAAAACAATGATGACACATTTGAAATTTCATAAATGACTAAAATTAGGTTAAAAGTACCTACGTTTTATTTATTATAAAAATTGTACTGTTTAACTACATAGTATAATAACGTTATCAGTATAAAATATTATGGAGAATTTTGAAATAAAAGTAGGTAACAATATACATTTAAAAATATTATCCAAAATTGAATAGTGTGTTGATTTAAAAGAAGATTTATAATTTTATTTTGATATTTTTATTCTTAAATAATAGTTTCATAATATCAGTTAATAGTGGGGAAGTCAACAATCTTACTAACAACAATTATTATTGTTGTATTATAATAAGAATTTCTAATTATTTAGTTGTAAAAAAACTAACTCAAAACTATTAATAGTTTTGTTTTTAATTTAATATGATATTATATTACTATTATCATTTTTAATTTAATTTAATTGTTTTATTTACCTATTCAAAATATACCTATTCCCATATAATTCACGTCATGTAAGCTCAAATCTTTAGTTTCATACTTACATTTATCTTATGTTGTAAATAACCTATATTTGTTATTATTAAGATAATATTGAAAACAATTTGAAACATAATATTAATGATTATTGTAATTATTATTGAATAAATATAGGCATTTAAAAAAATAGCATCTATTGTATCTGGTTTCTAAAAGGATTAAATTGAATACCTAACTAAATTATCATGATAGTTATAATTGTGCAACTTACTTTATGAATGGAAGTTATTAAAGAGTGTATATCTTATAAATCTGGAATTTAAGAGTAAACTAAAACCATTCTACTATTAGTTTTATATTTTGCAACCAAAAATTATTTTCCCCGCAGTTTAAGTTCTAATTATAGATGGGCACGTAACTTCAAGTAGCCTCCCGAAGCTGTCGCATCGAGTCCAAACTGGTGCCCATATTTTGGAAATTATTTGAATATAAATCACAAGGCACCGGGTTTTATACTTACTCGTATGCAACTCAAAAGAAATAATTATACATTCAATCATTCAAACTACAAATTTATAATTCTAATTGAAAATACCAAATGAAACAATTTTCAAATACCTACCTATTTCGTAAAATTGATAGGTATGTCGGCAACTTAGTAAAGTATGTATAAAGTTATTGTATTGTGACTCTTACTAAGGATATTCGTCATTTTATCAAGTCATGAGAAGCCGGTAATAATGTAACGATAGTGCATGACTATTGGTTCAATTTTTCCGTTGCTGTTACTAATGTCATCGACACATTTTACGATAACTTTATAATTACACCTGTTATAATATAATCATTGAATTTCGTTTATTACTCATCAATAATCAACTTATGGATTATATTTTTTAAATAAGATTATCCTCGAGTCTTTTGATAGCGAGCTATTGCAGCTGTATGATACAGCATATATCTATGATTAAGGATTCATATTTTCATCGTGCGTTAATAGTAACAGCTACTTTATAAATGTTATATCACCGTTGATTTTCTTACCGATTAAGTAATAAAGTACACATACGCATCACCACCGCCATAATACTGTGTAATATATTAATATACATACTTATATTGAAATATACACTATTTAGAATGAGAAGGTACTAGCGTCGAGTTCTTGTGGATATATCGTATTCTGTTCTGCGGCCAATATTCATAAAACTATTTATACTCCTTGATTGTATTCCCCATCAAATTTAGACTGCTAGTTATTTATATAAAAGGTTTGTATTTCTAGGCAAAAAATACATTTTACAAACATTTTCAAATAGACAATAAATGAAAAGTTTACCTAAGATAGATTATGCAAAAATTAAGTTTTTTTTTAAGTCTGTAGTAGTACTATAGTAGTTAGTAACGTCGCTTACTCACTGTTAACATTATTCTCTAAAATAAAAATATATGTAATTTTTGTGAACCGAATGAGGTTTAAAAAAATTGTTAAGTAGATCATTCTTGAAATTAGGTCTGTGTGACTGTGTTATTAATTTTTTGTTTTTTCAATTGTTGGTGTTTGAAGTATCAAATTGTTATATGTTATTATAATCGTTATTGTATATTTAGCTGAAAGTTATAAAACATTGATTGAAAATAGAAAGCTGAAAATTATTACAAATTATTTACAGTAGTTTGGATCCGGTAAACCAACTCTTGGTGATGGGGGTGGAAAGGTTGGTACTTGAAGTAGTCTATTATATATTTTGTAACTTGAATTGTGGTGGAAATATGAAGTTGTAAATTACCAATTAGTTACGAAATATTGTCAGTCACTTGAAAACGGTTAATTGATTAGGAGGATTTTAGTGGATAGTTTTTCGTATAAAATGATTCTTCATTCAATTAACATTTAAAACATACATTACAGTGATATACTCAATGAAGAGGTACAGTCTGCAACAGAGATGTGCCGATATGCGGGAGGTTAGGGGTTAAAATATATCTCCCCCCACCCCATTATCCGATAAATAATCTTATTTGTGTCTCGCCTCATTATTGAACATTCCTGGACACGCCACTGGTCAGTACCTCTACTGTACATCAGAGCAGTTACCCACTTTTCCTCTTTTTTTATGTGGAATGCACTAATGCCAATTAATAAGTAGAGTAGTAGGAAATTTGACTTTTGAGTTTTGATCCATAAAATACCAACGAAATCTCCTTTCCTACCACAAAAGATATTGAAGAAGTTACAGATTAAATTATATTTATTACACTTTAAAAATTGCCTATACTCTACAGAATAATTTTAAAAAAACCACACATTATTGGAAAATCAATAAATTCATCGAAGTAATCGGGGTGGATCGATCAAGATCTAATCATTTACAACGATATTCTGTTTGATAAAACTGAAACAATTAAAATTAATGGAAGGCGTTTTGTACCATTCAGTTATAATATTATACTCATTTCCGGAAGACTTGCTTTATTACCTTTTTGGATTATATCTCTTACTAATAAAATATTATGTTTCTGTCAAAAATATGTATTTTGGGAATTTGGTGTAAATTATGACATTTCCGAACACATAGAAACTTTCTTTCATCTCTCTTTTTTTAAAAAAAAAAAAAGATAAATCTTAAGTCACCAATTATTGACCAATCTCTATGATCTTGCTAAAAAATTTTAAAAAACTTGTAGACAAAATTATTTTTCCCTTTTGATATTATATTTTAATTAATGAACAAGACTTTCGTCCTAAACGATCAACTATAACTAATTTATTAATATAGTAAAATACCTAGAAAATATTGTTTGAAAAAAAAAAGGCTACCATTCATTGGTAATTTATAAACTGAAATTATATGGTTTAACTCCTTTCTGACTAACTGTGTTCAAGTAGTTAAATAAGAACATTTTATAACTATTTCAATAAATGTATTAGGCGTATATGGTGTGCCCCAAGGAGATAACTTATTTCCCTTACATTTTCTTTTTTCACTAACGATATTAATAATGTTCTAAATTACTCAAAATGTCTATTTTGTACTAAAATTATATAAAATATACTGAATATCGCATTTAGAAGATTTTGATATTATGTAATTTTATCATTTAATGGATAACTAAATTACATTTATAATGTTCAATATAATTATATAAATATTTCCTGCTATATTTAAAGGTTATAGATCAAGCATGATAATCCCTATGAATGTAACAATAAAATGAATCATAGCTCATGCATTTCATCCATATTCATACAGTTTATAACGAATACACAAGGTACTCTAGCATTGTTGGAACTATGTATTTACCTATCATAGACTCAATGATATTAATAAAAATGTTCGTACTTGTTGGAGTTTCCTCTTCGACTTTAAAACAAAACCTTTTTATGCCAAACTTGCCTTTGGTAAATTAATAATCTGCTTTGCCTTATTAGACAACGGTATCAAATATTTACAAAAATGATTCTTAAACGTGCATTATTATTGTATAAGGGATTCTTACATACATTATATTATTTTTATTACTTTTTTTATAGGGTGAATATCGCATTTTTGTTGAAAAATTTTATCGTTGTGAATCCACAAGAAATCATACGTTACAATTTAATTGTTATTTAAGCAAAAGAACATTAAATATAACTGAATTAAAAGGGAATTTTACATTATTGGTACCATTTGATGATACGGTTATAGTAAGTAGTTTGCATCGAATTATTTAAGATAAAATTTATGACTTTTTCAACAAATTATATTTACACAAGAAAGTAGATTGCAAGTAAAATTATTATTGACATTTAAAATTGTTCAATTCTGTTTTATATTTTTTCGTTATAACTCATTAGTTCTTAACTGAATTCATAAATTATGCTATTAACAATTACCATATTTTCTGAGAGTTACCGTTGTGCTTTTGAACCACATGCCATAATCTCTCATATTTTCTAATCCTATTGATTTTAAATTAAGAGAGAAAACATTTATTTTTTTTGATTAATTATTGTTCATTGTTATCTTACCACTTTGCCTTAGTATTAATGGTTTTTTTTTATTTATAGCTTGATATAAACTTTGCGTCTTGGAGTCTAAGTGGTGGTTGGAAACCCAATGCAATAGTTTACAAAACAAGAAAAGCATGTACCCATTTTAAAAACGTTTTAGGAAAAACATGGAATTCTGTAATCAAAGATTTTAATATACCAACGTCTAGCTGCCCAATACCAGTGGTAAGGTACAGAAATAAATAATTAATTGACCGTGTTTTTAATGACAATGAGATGACTTGGTGATCGGTGAATTAATAACAACACAAATACCAAACGTCATGTTAGGCTTCCGTCAAAAAATATTAATTATCAAAGTATAATAATTATTAACAAATCATATAAACCGGTTCTGCTATCATTGCATTATATGAAAAATGAATCCGAAGAGAAATTATTATACATTTTTAAGGATATTTTATTATATGTTTATATATAGATAATTAACATAAGTAATGCAGTAGGCTATTTTTATAAAAAAATCTTTACCTAAAACCCGCATATAGGTACAGTAATTTGTTCTAATAATAGTTCTTATATAATTTCATATAACAATATAAGTTTACAACATTTTATTGATTTCTATGTCATAAACTTATATGTACCTAGAACTAGAAGTACCATAGAATGATTTCAATAGGTTCATTGGTATAATTAGCTTAAACCACTTATAGATGGTTTGAAAATATCACTGTGAATTGTTGTGGTAACCGGGAAATATAGAGTGATCGGTCTTATCATTAACAGTTACTAATTACGGATGTAACTACGGTAATAGCTTACACAAGTGATATTTTACCCCTATGCCTCCAAGGAAACTTTTACCCCGGAAAAATTAATAAAAACGGTTAACTGACACAATTAGGCAGTATAATATAAATATAAATTGAAATATAACTATACTTTTTTAATATGTATAACTGAGAAATAAGAATTGAACATTTAAAACAAGGTTTCACGAATTCCACTAAAATTCACTATTTTTACAGTGACTACTGACTAGCAATTGAACATTTTCTCATCCTTAAAAATGTACAGTGGTTTCATTTTTGTTATCATATTATTTTTTAGATAATTCAAGTTTCCTTTTTAAAAGGTCGAATTGTTGATTTCTTTCAGTTTTTAATGAATTTTGATCTGTGTATGATATTATATTTGTTTATTTTTTTGTTGTTTCTATAATAATTTGAAGGTTTAGATTGTGGTGGTTACAAATGGCTGATCAATTTTTTTATCTTCTACCTAATTATTTATTTACCTTGTGATGACAAACACAAAAATTAAAAACTAAGTAAATAAATAAAATACACATTGCTGTTAAATCAATTGATTCATTAATCCGCTCAAAATATATAGTTCGTACATGACTAAAACTGCGATTTCCAATTCTACAATTCGCCATCATATTATTAAGTGCTTATTTTCGTTAAATTTTTACAGGGCACATATATTTCATCAGGCTTGGATTTGAGGAAACTAGAAGAGCATAACTTTCCCAAAGTATATTTTTATGGAAAATATAAAATGACGATTTCATTTAAAAATGAAAATAATAAACTACTTGGCTGTGCGATACTAGAGTTGAGTCTAATACGGCCGTGGGAAAAACCAATTTAATTTAATAATATTTGTTACATTAGCACCAGGCACCTATCATATTTTTCTAAATAAACCAGAAAAACAATCACTACCTAATTATTGGGCTTTCTGACTTGAATACAGAGCACTTAAAAAATAATATACAACTTTACTTTTAGAAAGTAACCAAGATTAAATTAATTTATTGTTTAATTTGATTTTTTTTAAACTTCGTTTATCATTGAAAGTCATACTATTACAAAGTTACAAAGATCAAATAAAATTATTTTTATTCATAATTATTGTTTAATTTGATTTTTTTAAACTTAAACGACAATTTCGGAACCGCATAATCGTATCCACGCATCCTGGGGGGAATCCCGCTCCCATTAAATTTATAAAAGTGAAGATCAGGAAACCAATATTATACACCAATTATGCAGACTTTGAATATTGCACTTTGGAGTCTGTTAATTAATGATCATCGATTTGTATACTGAAATTACAACAGTATATTGTAACATTTGTCACATCTTATGTAAATAAGTTACACACTTTAATCCAACACAAAATATACATACTGAACACTTTTCAGCCCAATCCAAATTCTTTTTTATTATTTAAACGACATTCTACCATCAGCTCAACTTGTATTTTACCATCAATACTAGGAAATTCAGGAACATTATTAATATCATTAATGAAAAAAAGAAAAAAGTAAGGGAGATAAGTGATCTCCCTTGGGAACACCATATAATACATTTTTTTTTTTTTTTAGCTTTTAGTAATAAACTATAATAGCTCAACAATTAATACATATAATACATTTATTGAATTAGGTATACAATTTTCGTATTTAACAGCTTGGACACGATTAGTTAAACAAGAGTTAAACCATGAAAGTAAAGGATCTCTATATCCATATCATTTTAGGTTTTAAATTACTATTATTAATTTATAACTAAATACCCAAAATACATGTTTATAACACCTTAGAGGGTGCAGCTCTCTATGTCGTCGACGACGAGGGATGTGTCTCAAGTGAGTACTGACTATACCGGTAGATAGTGCCGTTATTGGTGTTTCAGTGGCGAGAGCTGCGATATCTGCTCTGTATTATTGTATTTGGTTTTATATATTTTCTCATGCACACAATATGGACTTTTATTTAGCGAATAATGAAGACGTTATTCGTGCCTCGTATTTAGTGGTAAAAGTTAAGGACCTACAGTTTTTCAGCTCTATTCTTAAATGACTGTTAATTTATTTCGATGTATAAATACAAATTTTTCAAAATATTATATACATTTTTTTCAAATCATGTATGTACAATGTACATCGGTTAATATGACAATGAAAATATATCGACAAATTACAAAAATGAGATAACATTCAAATTTCTATTGTATAAGTTGCTTTTATGTAGCATATACAGTCTTACGTAACACTGATTATGGTTATTTGTAGTTAGAGGTCATCACTCATATATATCATATATTTATAAGTTATCGAAATATATGAATTGTAATTTAAAAAAAATAATAACTCAAAACTATTTGAATTGATAAGCTTTTAATGAACTATAGTTGTTAATTACATATTTATGCAAAATTCATTATACAAATAAAAGACTGCAGGACTAAATATTTTCGTGTGGTGGGATCAATTCTATGAAGTAAAATCTACTCGCAATTGGCTTATTCTTTGATCTTTAAAGGTGTAGGTAAAAACGATACTGCCGTATTGTCAAATAATAATTATATTGCTTTATTTACTGTGTATATCTTACTTTCGCATCTTAGAATTCTATGCAATCTATCCCTTTGATCATCTGTGGTCTAAAATTGTTATAGCTATTACAAATAATTATTGTTTTCCCTAGGTCTTCAGTTATAATATGATATGACAAAATTATTTAAATATTATAGTTATTTAAATTAACATACCTACATATTATTATTGATTGTCTATTTTGTCTCCCAGATCTAAGTTACTTGAATAATTTTCTATTTGAGTAATTGTTTTGTAAATTTGTAGTATAACACTTACAATAAAAATTGGTTTGTATGTATGCATCCAAAGTTTCCAATAAGTAGGGCCAATCTTAAATTCATATCCGTTTTTGTATTATTCGTTTTTGGATATTGCATTGTTAGTAATATAATCATTATTAAAATACGACCGTCATATAATATAAATTATAGTATTTGATTCTTCGCCCAAAAATTAGGGTTGTCATATGCTAATATCAAAGATCTAAGGCCTCCGGAAGATGCTTGACTGCAGCATACATTGGCGGAGACTACGCACGCTTGGCCTCATAATATCACCAATTATTGATAGAATTTTCATTTTTATTACTATTATAGTTTATAATATAATTGTTATATAGGTAAATTGTAAACAGATAATTTATTAGTTGTGGCTACATTATTATATTATACTCCTTAATATCATTTTTTATTTTTAGTTGTCCTTCATTTATTTTTTTTTATTTGGCTTGCGTGTATGAATAGTGACAAGACGAGCTTTCCAAAATGTAAACATTCTACCTATTTTATTTATATAAACTATAAAATAATAATTATTAAATTGTTTTTAATCTTATGATTACGTTTATGAAAATAAATTGATAGAAACAAAAAATACAGACAATATTTTTCCTAAAATATTACACAATTTATTGGATGTTTTTAAACATGATCTCCAGGCTTTTTATGAAGTCTTCCCTTACATAGTTATAGGCTCAAAACTGCTCTTGAAAAAATGGTGCATTGAATACAATCTGTTAATACGATGAAAGTATCTAAATCAGTATGTGTTTCTTAAATTTCTGAGCAAGCCAGTATATTATTTACTTTATTTCATTTTATTCACATTTACATGGTAGCCCCTTGAAAAAAATATCTGTACAGACTTCTAAATTTAATATGATTACAAGATACGATGATTTATAATGTGTAGGTACATTAGATATGTAAGTACAAAGCTTTATGGAGGGCTGACGCGTTAGCATTGACAAGATGCATTAATCATCATCTTGGTTCATTCGCTAAATAATTAGAGGTGCAATAAGAAACAATTGTAAAAAAGAATACTGCGTTTTAAGAAATTCATTGGAGGATTCTGAAATCGATTAGATTAAGAATGAAGAAGTAATCAACCTATCATCTGAACCCTAATTTAAACAATATAGTGGATAGCTACGTCTACCAAAAAGGTTTCCATGCCTACTAATTTCGTCGGAATAGGGGGGTAATCATGTGGCCATGTGGGGGACTTTACCTTCTTCACTTTCGAATTTCACCAAATATTTATATTAACGTAAAAGTCATTTTGAGTCTTTTTATGTCGAGTAGAGATGTACAGGCTAGGTTGTATTGGACTTGAACAATAAGCGCCGATCGATTTTACGAAGACTTGAGTTCTGGATTGTATGCATTTTTTTGTTATTGATTTATTCGCTGGTGTTCAAATGAAAGATCCGAACTTTGTTTGGCCTCAGAGGCAATGAATGTGCAGATTTTGGATTACATTTTTATTAGGATAATAAATATAGATAGAAGACGATTGAGAACGGTTCTTATCGGCCGTACCTTTTTTAATAGCACGATTGAGAACGTTCTTACCTGCTAACTTGTATGCAACGTTTTATTACCAGGCGTAAGAAAAAATAACGCAGATAGTCTTCTGACCCTTAAACATGCCACTTAGAATTGACTATGAAATAAATATGAATTTTTAGATTCATAATAGAAACTTTCAAAGACTGCCCTTCCGATTTGTTAATAGTCATGGCGAATGCAAGACGGATCGGAAATTAAAGTCGGTAAAACTCAAACGGCAAATCGTTTGGGATCATCGAGATCCTCGGAATGAGAACTTCCTCATCGTCGTCGAATTTTCTGTAGAGTGCCGTGACGTAAATCACTTTGTTCATAAATTTACTTACCACCAAACGCGTTGCGTTGCACATTTTTGGTTGGTTTATGTTGCGAAGCATAATTACTATGGAGCCAACATTTAGTCGTAAATTGTGCAATAGTAAAGCTGGCACGTCCAAGGACTTTAAAAATTCAATTGGATAGTTGATGGCTTCATCTTCATTTGTTACACAGTCAAATTATTTGAATGAATGCAGTGTACCAATGATCTCCTTCTGAATTATGTAGACGTGATATTTGGGAATGCTTTGTTGATGACTTCGTTTTTCAATGAGGCAAAGTTACAGAAATAAGGATAAAATGAAATCAATCTACTTAATTCGTCGACAGGTACTTGACCATTACTAATAGCCAGCAATCGCTCAGAGAAATCTTCAGCAGATGCATCGTATCGTTCAGCAATGCAACTCTCATATTTGTTGTCAGCTTAAGTTTCTTCATATAGCGCCATAGATTTGATGATTTGAGGTAAGCGTTTATTTCGTCGGCAGCAGTTGATTTTGGAATTACTGACAGTGTTTGACGAAAATCGCCAGATACTAAAATCATTGCACCTCCAAACAACTCTAGTTATTGGGTAAATCTTTCAATGTTCGATTAGGCCCACTTTCTCGACTTCTAGTTAACTGACAGTTTAGTATCTAGAAGATAACACTATCTATTATTTATAACTGAGCTTCAATTTCTGAAGGAGTATTTATCTCTAAGATAGTTAACCAGAACATATTGATTTTATCTAGGAGAATTGTCTAATCTTCCATGATTTATATCATTATAATTGTGATTACAACAAATTTTTTTATACAACCAAGTTTTTAATTAGTATTGTACCGGTTAATACTAACGTAAAAACATAACAAACAACGTAAAATAAAACTTGTCTTTAATTTATTTTTGTCGAAGTTAGTTTTTTCGTTTTGTTTCATCGAAAAGTATGCCCAAGCGAAAGCGGGAAAGCAATTTTACCAATGCAGAAATTGATTTATTGTTGTACTTATGCAACACAAACAAAAAAATATTGGAAAATAAAACAACCAATGTGGTAACGTGAAAAGAAAAAATTTTGCCCTGGGAAAAAATCCATACACAATTTAA